GCATTTCATAGAAATAAAGGAGAAAGATAAATTGAAACCTGGAGTAAACAAATCAAGAATATATACAGTGAGGTAAAATACATTGGTCTTTAAAGGAGGTATTTTCTTTTTGATTAAATGACTCTTGTTAATTATGCTTTTGTTTTGTTTTTTTTGTTGTTGTTTTTTTTTTTTAATATCTCCTCAGCTTTTGGATGACATCTGTAAAGCAGGTAATCAATGCAGACACAATCACATGCAGTCTTGCCGTTCGAGTTAAAAAGTAAAAGATCTGGTCAAACCTAGGCACCAAATAAAATGTTATAAAGCTTTCTGATGCTATTTTTTTTTTTTTGCCACAAAGAACCCACTGAAGCATCGAACCGGAGACGAAAACCGTAGAGCGGAGCCAAATTGCGAACCCTTCAGTGACTCAAACTAACCAAGATGTTCCCTAGGTTTCAACATAGACAAAGCGGATCTCTGAGACAACGGAAAGAAAAGCCTCCCAAGATTGAGTGAGTCAATCCTTAGACTCATGACACGGACCTCGTCACAGTGTGTGGATCAAACTGGCATAGTTAGGCCTTGCGCTAGCCGGTGGAATTTTGTAGGCAGACGTGGTCGGCCCACGCTTTGCATAACGTTTAAAGAGACAAAGAAATGGACCAGTGCGGCAGATAATTGCAAAAAGGCGCGCAGAGATGCCCGCCCGACCTTTGGGTTGAGCTATGCAGGTTGTGCTCAGACAGGTGGTGGACTCGAAGAGTTCGGATACATTCACAGCTGTGGGGTTTGTTCAGTGCGTGGTTGTAAGAGCTGCTGGCATAGTTTTGTCTTTCCTCAATGTTTGGGTTCCACCATCACAGAGAGCTTTCTTTCACAGCAAGCATCTAAACATACAGCGACATGCCAAGTTCATCAGCGTGGGTTTGAGTCACCGAACGGTTCCCGCCACTCTGCTTCTGCAACCTTCATCTGCATCAACCGGTGGACTGAGGTAATGAAATTGCATGGTGCATATCAGCAGTGGCTTTCTCTCGCATTTAGTCTGAGCTACAAAGAAAAAGGCGTGGTATGGCTGTCAGAGAGAAGGTACAGTGGACTTTCGTTTCTTTTCTTTCACACATTCATGTGGTATTGTATTTGCAAAAAAAAAAAAAAACAGACCATGACTTTTCAAATTCAGACCCACAGACTGAAGGACAAATGACCGATTCAATACACGAACTAAGACAAAACCGCATGGAGCAGGCAGAACACAAACATCAACAGAGACACTCGTCGGTCAGCAAGGCCTGCTCTCAGGGACTCTACCGTCACTCATACAGATTGAAAACAGCACGCACCTTAAAGGCGTAGTACACAAAAATAATCCATGCAATAATTTAAGACCGTTCAGTTCATGTAAGAGGATGGAGGAAAAAGCATTGTCCTTTCAAGATTAGCCAAAAAAATGTTCACCGTTTTCTGTTTGTCTCGTTTCTTTCGTGTTGCATGTAATTAAGATGATGTCGTCTACGGAATATTACCCAGAGTCATTTGGACCCGGTAGGTGGCAGTATTACAGCTCACAAGATTTAGATCAGGCTGTAAGGTTCAAAGAACAAGCAAGGCTGCGGGTGTTAGCAGAGTTAGCTCGGGCTAGCCTCAATGACAGCATCCTTTGAAACAAATCGAATAATGCTAGCAGTGCGCTAAAAGCAACGCTTTTTGCTAAGAAACCGGTAACGCAAAGCTATTACGTTTCCAATTCACAATTTTAACAACACCTTGCCGACACGCATGTAATGTATCCGGTGCTAGTGCACTGCTAACACAACAATATTTTGCTACAAGCTAAGTATCTTTGATGCTGTGCATACGCTGTATCTCATCTTATGATGCTGAAAGGAGGAACCTTAGGACCTGGAACAGGCTACATGCAAAGAATTAATATAAACGTAAACTGGTATTTCATGTGGTACTGATGATTTGAGGCGTGAACTCAAATACTACACTTAACAGAACTTGCTATTTTGCCACTCGTACTCTGTTTTCTCAATGATATGTGTCACTGATGTTACATTGGTGCTTTTTCTCCGACCCATGACCCATATATATTATATATGTCTGAAGCCTTTAAATGCATTGATTAGGCCTTGGGTGTGAAACATGTGAATTTGAACATGTTCAAGAGATTTCCTGCTCTAAAAGAATTATGTTTTTTTTTTAAGAGACAACAGGTTTCAACATAAATTTAGTTCATTTGACCTATGATCTGACTTTTTTAGATTTTTAGATTTACTAAACTTCCAACTCTTCCTCTGAACTTTTATCTGTTTTGACCTGACCTCCACAGAAGTTTGGTAACTGACAGCTCTAAAAGGCCTTTCTAACCGTAACTCCGACAAAAGGCAGAGAACGTGGAATGACAACGGAGACGGATAATACAAAAAAAAAAAGAACTAGAAAGCTACCGTAGCAGAAAGACAAGAGGCAAGAAAAAAACAAAACAATTGGCTGCAGACATCGCTTTACGCCAAAAGTTCTTGGAATTTTGACATGAGCAAGTCCAAGGCTGCTGGTGACTTTAAGAGAGTATGATTGGTTGTTCAGGTGGAGGCCAACCAGAGGTGCCTGTTGAGATTTGTTTTTTTTTGGTAAGTACCCAGTGGATGACACTGTAAAAAAATATTACACAGACTCGGTGCCATCCAGATAACCAGAAGAATTGGCCAGTACTCAGGCTACATCCACACTGCTACGAAAGTAAACCAGGACGTGTTAGCGTTTAGATTAGGGTTCTTAAACTCTCGGCTTGCGGGCCACTTTAGGAGCACAAAACACCCACAACTAGATGAGAGTGTGATGTAATCTGATCTCCCGCTGTTATGGCTTTTCAATGGAATAGCAGGGGCAACAGCGCTCCCCCAAGCTCATGGGTTTGAGACACCTGGTTCAATGTCTTTCTGTACTTATGGACTGTTTCGTGGTAGTTTATGATTAACACTCAAAGCACTTCACTTGGACTGCAAGGCTGGCAGCGAGGTGATATATATATAAACCAAATGAGAAACGGATTCCAGGCCTAAGGTTGTGGAAAGCAGCATCAACCTACAAGCGAGAAAACAAGAGTCTCCGGCTGTGAGATGAACTTGTTCTTTGTCGTGGTTCATAATAAACTCTGAATAAGCCGGTAGTAATTGCAGGAAACTGCTTTAGTTTTGGAAGAAAAAAAAAGAGACCATTAAGACGTAGGAAGGTACTCACAAGAATTATGCGTAGTTAGCTTCCCCCCGTTAATAATTGCGAGCTTTTGTAACATTTTTGGTCATCACAAAAGACCTGGCACTTCAGTGTACTTCACTTCACTAGACCACCTTTTATATACAAGAATTATTAACCATGGCTACCGGTCAACAGAGCAGGACATTTTGTTGCTTCAATGTGCAATTCTTCAAAGTCTTTTGAGGATTTCGTTTTGGGACCAAGAAACACCAAGGGGCGAATACAGTCAAAAAGGTGTAAAAGCGTGGACGTAGCCTTACTTAAAGGGATGCTCAGAGTTGAACGCTGTGGGTTTCCTGTGCCACCAAAACACCCCCCCCCCCAACCCCACATGGCTTACAAAGATAAACACCTGGCCCAAATTTCATCTCCAGCAAGGCCCAGTTGGCTCACCAGTAAACAAAGTTAAATCCAGCATAACCTCATCAGCCTTTTTTTTCTATTAAAAATAGCAGCGATTTACACTTAACCATCTACAGAATCGGGGGAGAACTTTCTTCTGGGGATTTCTGTCCACAATATCTATTTACAAGACTTGGTATAAAATCACTGCTAACAGTTTATAAGCAGAGTTGTTCATTCAAAACGACACAGGAAGGCGATGTCCTACCTTAACAAGTCTTTTTGCCAAGACACTTTAGTTTTAAAGTACTACAATGGGAATTATTCAATTAAGGCCTGCGGCAACTGATAATGCAATGTTGACTAAAAGTGATATTTCCGCTAATGTCCAGAGGATGGTGTGGTTATTACCGCGTATTTATATAAATTACGGGAGGTGGTCCTCGACTTATATCCGAATTGCGATCCTAAGGTGTGAAGTAAGTAAGTCGGTACCTATTCGCTTACCTACGCTAACACTGCGATAACATCATAATCTAGGACACAAAAACACCAGAAGTGTCTGACTTACGCTGGAGCCATAATGAAGACCCAGAAAAAAAAAAAAAAAAAAACCAAAGAAAGCGAAAAACAAAAAAAAACAAAACAAAGAAAGCAAATGAGGTACAATCCAATGTATGGCAAAAAAAAAAAGGTAAATGCTAACAAAGCAGTCTTTTGCGTATAGCATTGTGTGACATCGCATTTATCTGCTTGCCAACTGGTTTCGCAGATTTTTGTTTTAAAGTTGCAAAAGTCGTACGTCGGAAAGGTGGAACAAGACTTTCTTGATAAAATTACGGGAGATGGCGACGTGGCCACAGAACGACTTCGGTCGAGGACGTCGTAAAATCGAGGACCTGCTGTCGAGGATTAAAACGAAGGCAAAGCTGATGTCAAACTCAAATATCCAACACTGCATGATCAGTTGCCTTAAATGTTGACAACAAAGGGGTTTTGAGGAGAAATATCCAACAAACTTTTAGAACGTTTTTCGAAGGTTATCTTTTCACTCCAGTAAAGTGTGGTCGGGGATGCGGGGGGTGAGGATTCTTTCTCGAAATGAAATTTCCAACTGTGTACTATATATATATATGCTATATATCAAGCTGCTCAGCACTTCAGCCAAGGATGATGATGATGACTTGAGTTTCACGATTTGTCGTTGGAAACAAAATCAACGTGCTGCTACTGCAAAGGCTCCTAGCGACTCTCTAGCGCATCATGGCACCGAATATAATCCGATTCAGGCAATCTGGGGGAATATTTACATCCAACGGCAGCACTCACTTCCACTTGAAAAGTGAGGTGGACAACAAAGTAGCAGCACATCACATAGATCTTGTATCAGTTTTTTTTGACATAACAAAAAAAAACAAAGAAAAGAAAACAATAGAAAATCTACATACAACCTAGACAGACGGCTTGACGACATGCAAACTGCCACACAGGTAAACCAAAAGTGCACTTATTGCTGCAAAAAAACTCCAAATTAGGATGCTTTTGAAAAGAAGTGTCCGGCAGAACATATTCAGATAGTTTTATTCTACTCGTTCAGATCGAGCCGTTCCTCGACTGTGAACACCAAGAGGAAAGTGCAGCAATGGCGTATCGACACAGGCAGTGTGTGCGACGCAGAAGTGAAAGGTTTAGATGTGTGGCAATTACGGCAACAGGACAAACGGTCTGCTAACACGAACCTAAATCAGGTGCTACATTTACATATATATACACGTATACATATATATACACACATATATGTATGTATATATATATACACACATATATACATACACATATATATATATTCTTTAACATAAAATCATGACACAACATTCATCATAGTAATCAATTATACATATATGTATATACATATAATGATTCCTATGATATATTTACACATGAAAAAAAAAACAGAAATAGGAAAGAAACTTAAGAGCAGATCCTGACTCTTTTGCGTTGGTCCCTTAAGGCTTGCTAAGCTGTCAAGACAATTCTCATCATCATTATTATTATTATTATTATTTTTTAAAACATTTTCTATTTTTAGTACTTTTTTGTTTTACATAAATGTACATTCGGTTAGAAAAACAAGAATTTGCCACAAAAAAAAAAAAAAAGAAAGATGAACAACCTGGTAAAACCTATGGCTTAGTAAATATCTGTTTGCTATATTTAAATGAATGTACCTTACTGATATTTTGTCTATTATTCTACTGATATAAAGTACGGGCCATACTAATGCTGCTGCTGCATAAAGGAAACAAAAAAAAAAAAAAAGTTTACATATACAGGGCAATGACAGTTATGCTTACAAGTCCATGTCTCTATTCAACAGCTTTTGTACGACTGTCTGACTGTAACACAGTTTGAGGTGCTGGAGCTTGAAAAGACTCGGCCCGCTGAGAGAAGAGAGACGCTGTACAATGAGTCGTTGCTGAGGTGGGGGGGGGTGTGTACAGGGGGCTGGATGACAAAATGGCACCAGAAGTTGGTGGGGGGATGTGGGTGCTGTGGTGCTCAGTATGTGCTTCCCTTCTTTTTTGTTTTTTTTCCCTTCATCTCTATGTCTTGGGTGTGCATAGTATAAGTTTTGCCGTACTCCGGGGGGGAGGGGGGGCCTTTCTGAAGACCTCCTCACACGCACATGTCCGTGTTCACGACAGCACACACTCCGCCGCGGCCAACATGAGAGGAGTTGAGTTGTTAAAGCACTGGCACTTTCCGGTAACAGCTGGCTTGGAAGGCATGGTGGCAGCTGATTGCTGTTGCTGTCGTTTGTTGTTTGTTTAGCAGAGTATAGAAAATAGACATTTTTTTTTTTTTTATATCTATTGTCGTTGCAGCATGTTTGCTCAGAATGTATGAGGTCACCGTGTCCAGTTTATGTTTTGCGATAAAAAGAATCCCCTGCCACCATGAAAAGTAATAAATTAAGCTGACCTGTGCAGCTCCCCCGACAGCATCGAGGGAGCTGGATCAGAACACAAAAACAGGTGCAAATACTGTTGCAAAGGTTTCTGCACAAAACTTCAACAAAAGAAGCTGGTGTGTGTGTGTGTGTGTCTGCGCGGGTGTCACATCTATGCTGCGGTAAAAAACAACTCTATAGTAGGGCCGCAATACAAATAAATACAAATTCTCATAATCCTGGTCAATTTGACATCAACTTAAACGTACATGCAATATACTGCAATATACTTTGACAAACATCATGCTTAATTTCTTTTTATTTTACTTTACTTACTAAATTGAAAACGAACAGAAGCGATTAACATTTCTACACCGTCTGTAGGTTGATATTCTTTTTTTTTTATACTAAAACCCAACACAATATTTTGAATTAAAATAAAAAAAAGGGAATATTAATATTAATATTAAATACTGATACGATTCATTTAACGTAAACAGAAATTTATTTTCTGGGTTTTTTTTTATCTAGTCACGATAAAAAATGGTCGTTCGAAATATAAACTGAAGATATGTTGAGATTAAAAACAAAAAACAAACAAACAAAAAAAAAAACGGAATTTCCCAAAACATATTTAGAAACAGAATGCCCTGATATCCGACTTGAAAAATAATAACAAAAAAAATCCATCTGATCTGATAGCTAAGCCTAAATGCTAATTTTTACTTTGCGCGACATGCCGTAAAACAGAGACACGACCACCTCAGTAACGGCAGCTCGCAGCGTGATCGAGGAGGAAAGAAGGCATCGGTATTGGACATGAGATAGTTGAAAAAAAAAATGAAAATAAAAAAAGTATCAGACGAGTCTACAAAGATCGTGACTCCCCCTTGTGGCCCTCTAAAAAAACTAAATGTTTTTAGATAACTGTTTTTTTTTTTCTTTTTTATGTATATTACCATAGAATGGAATAATTAAATAAAACACGTGACGATTTTTGCATGTTGGGCTGGATACGCAAACATTATTTTTTTGGGTAGAATTTAGTTTAAAACTGAAGCTTTTTTTTTTCTTTTTTTTTAAAATGTAATTACTGAAAGTGTAAACAGTGATATCGTATGCAGCCCTACTAATGAGTATTTTACCCTCTGCAGTACAGACTGAAATGCTAACGTGCTAATCTGAAGATGAGCAGATGAGAATGAAGCACCAGCAGCTCAGAAGCCTCCTTGATGGTTTTCCCAGATCAAGGTCTGGACCATAGTTTACCTGATGATGCCTGAGCTTTTATTAGTTATGTATTTGCATGTGTGTGTGTGTGTGTGAGACCATGGCAGATAATGAGGAAAGACGACCCTTTATGCGTCCTTAATCCCTTATCCTTCATCTATAAATTTCTCCATAAATCCAGCCATCTGTGTGCGCCCAGTTCAACACACATATGTAGATGTTCCTGAGTTTCACAGGATTCATTAGTTTTTCAATGAATAAAAATGAAAAAAAAAACAAACAAAAAAAACCCAGGGGAAGGTTGAGAGGGGGTCTTCACTTCCCTTTAAAGGGAGGAACAACCAGCAAGTGGTGACAAATATTAAAATGCTGTGATGCTGATGATATGGACGAGTGGGGAAAAAGTGTGTGTGTTTGGTTGATGATGATGACGATGTGTCTACATCTTGATTCCCTCCTGTTGGCTGAGCTGAGACAGGGTTTTCTTGATTCGGAGCGCAGTGAGTCGGGCAGCACCGTTAGCGTACCAGCACTCCCTCATTATCTTGGCCATCACTCGCAGGGCCTAGAGGGCAGAGGAAAGAGAAGGGGGGGTTGGGGGGGGTGAGATTTCATTATCATCTTCACCATCATCCTCACCGATACTATACAGAGACAGTCTACATACAATAGATAGATAGAGAGAGAGAGAGAGAGGTTAACATTTTTCACCTAGAATGACCAGATAGAAGAGCTTAGCACTTTTCACCTATAGATAGATGGCACGATAGATATATAGACAGATATATAAACAGATACATAGATAGATGGACAGATGGACGGATGGACAGATGGATAGATAGATTGATTGATTTCAGGTTGGACTGTGCAATCGATCCGATTCTGATTAGAATTTCTTCAACAACTTCAAGTGGTTACAAAACTTAAGGAGAAAAAAAAAATCATTTGAAAATTATCATTGAAATTATTTTTGATAAAAAAAAAAAAATCAATAAAAGTTGCATTTTACAGTTCGACAGCAGAACTACCTGTTCTTGGATTTAACAACGGACTTGAGTTTATTCGATATTGTTTGACAAATTCCGAATATAAGTGAAGGACCTTTCAGTACATTCAGTATGACATTGTACTTCAATATTCAGAAAGCGTCTCAGTCTACTGCTAGTACCTTTCTATATTTTTTACTTTCTGTTTGCAATTTGGGGGGATTTCTAAGGGAAGGTAGGCTATCAAAAAAAAAAAAAATCGCATTTCCTGTTTCAATTATGTACGCAATCAGTAAAATCGCATTTCCTGTTTCAATTATGTTCAAAAACTGCGATGTGTTTTCATACGCAATGAGCAATCGTGATTTCAATATTGACCAACATTGACCAATACTGATTATGATAATTTTTCTCCGTTTATCTATCTATTGACGCCTTGTTTCCAGAGGAATGTCATGACTAAGAACTAGGTCTTAAAGCTTAAAAACGTTTCCTCTTTTGACTGACACAAATGACAACTTCCAGACACTATGAATAGACTTGGATGAAAGGCTTTGATGTCCCAGGTTTACACTAATTCCTCACGTCTCCCTCAGAGTTGACTGTAAAGAGCATCTGGTATGTATGAGTCAACATCTTTGTCTGTTGCTGTGTGTGAGTGTGCTTACGCCTGACTGGAAATTCGACTGTGAAAATTCTTGCAGCGCCAGACAACACTTGAAGGTCTTCAGTGATTATCAAATGGACCTGTGCCACACTTGCATATTCGCAAGTATTTTTTTTTTAACATGCGGGAGGCTCATGCTTGCTATTAATTGCTTTGAAAATGTATTTCAGGTGGGAGAGCATAGAGATTTGTTTTAATTCAGATTCTTTTTTTCTCTGTGAAATACGTGTGCTCTAGTTTGTGATTGCACAACTTAAACACAAATGTATTTGTATATATATATATTTATATATATATATATACACACACACATGTACATATATATACATGTACATATATATACATATATACATATACATATATACATATATATACATATACATATATATATACACATATATACATACATATATACATATATATACATATATATACATATATATTTATATATTTACACATATATACACACACACATATATATATATACATATATATTTATATATTTACAGTATATACAGTGGAGCCCCGAAATACGAGTTTTCCAAGTTACTGGTAAGCAACTTTTGCAAGATGTTCCTTGTGAAAGGAGGAAACGTGTAGTTACGAGCGCTCAACAGAACTATATTATTATAAGAACAATATAAAATGTTTTCTCAATTATTATTATTTAATATTATCAATATAATATTTTATATCTATGTTTTTGATGGTTTTAATTTTTGTATATTTCTGGAGGGCTGGAACAAATCAATTGGTTTTAAGTTATTTTTAATGAGGAAACATTTCGATCGAGATATGAGTGCGGATTAAACTCCAAGTATATTGTGACAGTGCACTAAAATGTGAGCAAATATATTTGGGAAAAACTTGTATCGGGCACTCCCTAATAAGCAAAGTTAGCAGTCTCAAGAGAGTAATGAAAAATAGTTTGCTGTTTTTTTGGAACCCTAGAGTTTTCTAATCAACTCCAGTCGTGCTGAAGACAGAAAAGTAAATAGGAAGAAGAAGAAAACATTGTTGAGACTTAATTGGCCGAAATGGTCTTGTTAAAATGCGTGGTAGGTCCTCGCGACTATTCATAAATTCTCACCCGTGTTTTGATTTAAAAGTATGTACGCGACATTATAAGAGTTTTCTTATCTTCTGTGGTAAAATGCCAGAAAAAAACCAAAAAAAAAAAAACAAACACTTTTGCATCAGCTTCTAAAAGCGGCTAAAGGTTTTGGCTCCAAGTTGAGTCGTTTTTTTTTTTTTTATTTTATCTCTTCGTAGTTCACTAAACAAACAGCAAAGACTTATGACGTGTCGACAATTTATTTCCCAGGCTTTATTTTTACAGCCTTTACGTGAAACTCAAATGGATGTTGACACCTGGTTATAAAAGATATTGCACGCGTCCCATGGGAACATCTGGTTGAAAATCATCTTGACTTCTATTATGTGACATATCTGGAGGCTCAAAAACAGCATTTCCTTTTGTGTTCGTTGGAAACATTACCTAGAGATTTTTTCGATACCGCTACAGCTATCGCTAAGGCGATGGTGTCTGATTTAAGGCACGTCCTGCAAAGTTAAATATCATTTAGGCTTAGGTATCGGAAACGGTTTTTAGTTTTTTTTTTTTCCTATGTTTAATCCTAAGATTTCAACCCATATTGGACCAATACCGTTCCAGAGAATCGGACCGAGCCATCTCTAGTTTCCACTAGTGCTACGCGACAAGCACCTCCTCTTAACTTAGTATTGTTTTACTTAAGTTAAGAGGAGCTTTTTATGTCTAACAAAGTCACAAAAATCCAAAGCATATGTGTCTGTCTGTGCGTGTCTATTGTTCATGTTATTGAACCTGAAACTTGAGCGCTGGAGGGAATACTCACATACACAATATTTGCCGAGTACTGTGGGAAAGATCTTTCGCGTGTGTGTGCAGTATATCATATAATTGAGGGCTGTAATCGAGACGGACTCCAGGGCTTTGAGGTTTAGATTTAACGTAGAACGGAAACCTTTCCCGCCAGATCGGATACACACAACACAACTGAACACGTTGGCAAAACAGTTGTCTTTTGCAACTGACTCTGAAATCAGTGACTTGCCCTGTTGGTTAATTCACTGTAATAAAAACAATCCTTTTCTTAAGCTTTGGCCCAAACGCCATACTTCCTCTTTCGTTCTTTGGAATGCATGTGTTTTGACAAGAGATGCACTCATTGCAAGTTTCGTTTTGGCCAACTCCAGTTTTCTTTAATCAACGTTTTCTTCAGCGCAAAATTCTGTAATTACGTAACCTTTCCTGCAAACTGTGCAGTCAGACATTCTCTCTTCAGCTCAACATATTTCAAAACTAAGTGCCTTGTGACTGGAATGAGGAACTAAATTAAAATGGGTTCCTGTGAAACCCGCTTTCTGACTCACGAAAAAAAAAAATGTAATAGGTCTGTATAATCTAATCTGTGTCTACGCACTAAACTGTTAAATTTAGCATGGTCAGCTGAGTTAGCTCGCGGCAGAACAAGTAAACCTGTTCGAACTATGTCTGTTCGGCAGGATGACAGGGAGGGGGGTTGAATTTTTTTGGGGGGGAGAGAACTCTTTCAGACGACCTCCAGATTTGATTTGTCGAGTACACTGTACATCCTCATTCCTCTGGTGCTCATGGCGCCATCTTCAGGTGTACCCGCAAAAAATTCAGTAAAGAGTAAAGTACAAGGATAAAGTCGGAAAAAAAAAAAAAAGGCGTCTTACCTCACAGCTCTGCCAGCGGTTAGGAAGGTTGGGCCGAAGCTTCTGCTCACAAACTACCTTCCTCATCTCTTCTACCGATGGATCCGACTGAACCAGGTCATAGTAAGGAAGCTGGTAGTCCTCATGAATGCCTGCCGGAAAAACAATAAAAATTAATTAATTTGACCTTGCATAACTCAAATAACTTAATCAATCAATCTTAAATCCCTCAACCTCCCCTCCCACTCATTTATTTCTAAATGATTTGGTCCCACCCCCCCCACCCCCCTTTGCCTCGTCTGATTGGATCCTTACCTCCCATAGAGCAGCGGCTGGCGATCTCCCAGAAGACCAGACCCATGGCATAAATGTCGGCCCGTTTAAAGGACTCAAAGTGTTTCATGTTTATAGAGTCGTCCAACACCTCTGGAGCCATGTACCTGGGAAGAATCAAAGTAGGGTTCTTATTCTAGGTATTAATGTTAAAGTGGCACAGGTCAACACTACAATACCCACCGTACATTCTCACTAGTTTATTTTTGATATACCATTTAATAAAAAAATAAGAGTTATATTCTTTCATTTCAAACACATTCTTCGTTTTTTTTTTCTTCTTTGTAAAACAAACTCCAAAACCCAGGGGTTCATGATAAAAAAAAAGAATATGAAATAAATGTCATCGGACTATTTTTCCAACATTTTTACAGCTGAAAAAGGAATTCAGTTCAAAGTGTTCTTCATTTCTAAATGTTTGTAGAATGTTTCTCAAAAGATTCAAATATGACACAAAAAATACAAAACCTGAAGTTTACAGGTTTTTCTTTATAACTTAAGTTTAAAAAATAAATAAATACAATATAAGTTTAAAAATAAAGATATATACAGTGCAAAGGCAGTAGCGCAACTGTTAAAAAACTTTAAGACCATTCTGTTGGCTCTGTTGGCAAACCTTCCAGGAACTTGATAAAAAAAAAAAAAAAAAATAGAGGCATTTTTGTAAAGTTCAAATGGAGACAACTTGAAGGTATTTCTGTGGACACAAAGAGAATATGGAAGAACAACTTGATCGTTTAAAAAATAACATTTCTACTGCTTTTAAATGTGTTTGAGACATCTTTAGAGAAAGTTGGACTAAAAAAAAAAAAAAAAAAAAAATAGAGGCATTTTTGTAAAGTTCAAATGGAGACAACTTGAAGGCATTTCTGTGGACATTAAACTCCACAGCCTTTATAACAATACTAGTTTTTTTTTTTTTTTGTCGTAACAAAAGGACATTAAACTCCACAGTCTTTATAACAATACTAGCGTCGTCTGTAGTGAAGGTAACCTGACGTTCCACGCAACAAAAGCCTCCTTCAGGCCCGATGCGATGTTTTCTCAATGTGGTCCTGGGGGATATACGATGTTTACAGTGAGTGGCTTTTAAGCTCAAAGCTCAAAGTCAGACTTAAGTAAGGTTCCACGGTCCTGCTTGACCGCAAGTCTGTTGTGATTGAACGAAACTTGACCACAGCCATTTCAACTCGAACCTCGCTACGGGGTTTGTTGTAGAGCTCCGGGTTATCGCAATGAAAACGTTTCGCCAGGGGGTAGCTGGTTTCTCCTGTCCAACATTTCTGTACGGATCATTTGGCAAATTCAGGACTTAGCGACTTTAGCTTTGGACGTTTTACATACCTGTGGCTGCCCGCAGCGTGTTGATGTGGCTCCACATTTGTTTACACAAAAATTGCAATTTTTCATGCGGTCATGTAATCGCATTTAGGTGAGCCATTCCTAGTAAGTATAGTTAGTAGTAATAGTATTATATACTTTTTTTATAATACTACTTTTTTTTATAATACTATTATTATTATTTTGATTTACTATTATTATTATTACTATTATTTACTATTATTATTTATTTATTTTTATTTTTATTTACTATTATTATTATTTTATTATTATTATTTTTTATAATACTATTATTTTATAATAGTAGTACGGCAGTGCTAAAACATACAAAGTTGGTTATGCTAGCCTTTGCTTGATGTTTAAAATACGTGAAGTAAATAAACAGCAACAGCAGAAATGCTCAACCAATGTTTGTCCTTTGTTTTGCCGCGTCTCGACTGGTCGTTGGTCAAGGATGCATTGCGATTAATTCCACCGGTAAATGTCAACTGCTACACTTCATAGGTAGGAAACTACAAACTGGAGAAACCTAAAAACAGGATACAACAGCTGAGCGATTGTGTGTGTAAAACTTGCAGATACAGCTGTTACGAGAACATACTTGAGGAAAGCGATGAGTCTGCAGCTCAGAGAGCTGGATTTTGGTGTCATAACAACAAACACCCCAAGCTTATGTTTAGCTAGTTGCTGAAGTCTCTAATTCATCAAACTCGGAAAAACAGCACAGGAAAAAAAACAAAACAAAACAGTGCTGCTCAAAATGTATCTTCACCTTCACAGATAAATGGATTTATTCAACCAAGTGAGAAATTTTGGGGTTGGACTAACACCTTGTCTGGAAGCTTCACTGTAGTGATGCGAAAGTAACAGAATCATACCATAGGGGTGTAGCAGGAATTTCAGCCAAGGCCCGAGATTCTGTCTCCAGTGACCTGAGGCTCACTGAATCATTTAGAGGCAATGAAATACACCCGCGGCATCAAACCTACGCACAGACAAGGAGCCGAGACGAGGATATAAACAAAATGAAAAAAAGAAAGGGGAGGGAGGGAGCGCAAAGCATTCCACAGTAACGGCTGTTCTGCTCTCAGACGGGAAAAGGACAGACTTACTACGGAATGCCCTGTTTCATTGGAACGGGATCTTACGAAATCGATCTGAATGATTAACTCCTGACTCAAGTGTTAATAATCAACGTTCAGGCTACATGTAAACAGGCTGCGCCAAAGACTTCTGCATTTTTTCCAAACAGAAGCAGAGGCATCAAAAATCAACACAGTACTTAGTTACAATAATAAACCGTTGAGTACTCTAAAAACAACAGCTGAAATGATGGCAAAAAGTCAAAGGCTAGCACATCAATAATAACTGTTTTTTTACAGGGCTGGGCGTTTAACGCGATATTATCAAGTTAACTCATTGATTCATTAACACTGTCTTATGCAGCAGCCTGCCATGTGGCGAGATAAGGTACTGCATGAAAATGAACGAAACGCTCACCGGGAGGATTCGTTACTCCCGAGTCGTATGAAATCTTAGTTCATATTGACGGAATTGTTCACGAACGACACTTCACTAATGAGCGGAATACGAAGACGGCGTCAAAGACTTACTGAGCCAGTGCTGTTGGAGGCTGGCAGGCAAAGTAATTGATCAAAATACTTAACCTTGAGTCAGAAATAGAGTCACCTCCTGATGATTGGGGGTGTGTGCACACTAATGGCTCAACACCTTTATTTACAACCAGCGTTCACTGTGGGTGGGTCGCTGCGGAGCCTGGAGTCGTGTGGCGAAACAACACAGAACTGGATCATAATAAAAGACAGGCCTCTCCATCACAGGGCTAAGACTTCACCTTGGGATTTTCTGCTGAAATACTCAGAGAAGTGAACTCAGGACAAGATGGAGAGGAGGACTTCCCGTCTTATTAGTGCTCGTAGCTCTACAGCGAAACCTACACCTGAAGGTCCATTACTGACAAATGAGACGTCACACTGCTTATTAGGCCACCAGGTAGATTACAATCTCTCTGTATTTCCCAGTACAGGAGATCAGGTCAAATTTCATGAAATTATTTGATTTTGATTCATGAGGTTCTGAATCAATTAATAACAATTCAATCTGCTCCCAAATTATAAAAATGTCTTAACTGTGTTAGCAAATAAAAATATATTTGATCTTTTCTGCTAAGTTTTCGCTAAGAAGATTTTTCGCTGCACCAGATATGTAAACCCTATGGACCCTACGTCCGAATGGACCCTATGTCCGAATGGAGTTACTACACAAGATGGCGGCCTATTCCAGCAGGACCCGCGAACCCCCAAAGTGGTGAATCCGCAAAATATGAACCGCGAAATAGTGAGGGACTACTGTAGTCAAGAAAAAAAAACCAATTCAAATACCACACGGAGGGCCCAGAAATCCGCAGAAATAATGAACCCCAACAATTCAACATAAGTTAAATCACGTTAGTAAACAGCGTCAAAGTGTCAGAAATAAAATGTCTTTATAAATTACATTTAAAAAAGCTACAAATGCTTTAGAGTAATTCGATTCAAATAGTACACAATTGATAAAACCTGAATTGAATAACTTGATCACATCATCAACAACAAAGATTTACAAAAAAACTACCAATGCATCTTGGGAAGCCTGTGAGTTGGAAGAAAAGCAAGTCTTACCTTTTGGTTCCAACTCTGTGATTCGGAGCAATGTCAATGGTGTCGGTGGCGGAGTCGTGGCGGACGGCTAGACCCAGGTCAGCGATGCAGCAAGTCCCGTTCTTTTTCACCAGGATGTTCTTTGACTTCAAGTCCCTGTGAGCAATAGCTGGCTTGCCTGCAGAGAGAGCAAAGTATTTCATTTTCGCATGTATGTTTTAAGTGTCAACTAAAAAGGTAAAAAAAAAAAAAAAAAGAGCAACTATGAAGTTAGCAAAAAACAACAACTATGAAGTTAGCCAAATAACAACTATAAAGTTAGCAAAATAACAACTATAACATGAGCCAAATAACAACTATGAAGTTAGCCAAATAAAACCCACTATGAAGTTAGCAAAAAGTATGAAATAAGTATGAAGTATAGCTAAAAGTAATTATGAAGTTAGCCAAATAACAACTATGACGTGAGCCAAATAACACCTATGAAGTTAGCCAAATAACAAATATGAAGCTAGCCACGTAACAGCTACAACATGAGCCAAGTAACAACTACATTGTTAGCCAAGTAATAGCTATGAAGTTAGCCAAATGACAACTATGACGTTAGCCAAATAACAACTATGAAGTTAGCAAAAAACGTATGAAGATAGCTAAAAGTAATTATGAAGTTAGCCAAATGACAACTACGAAGTTAGCAAAAAAACAGCAGCTATCAATTTAGTCATAAAAACATATTTGGCCTCTGTGTAAGTACGCTCCACCTGAAAGCTCACTTGAGTTCTTGCTAAGTATGAACATTACTTAACCAAGGGTAAAATAAATGACTATGTAAGTACATAAGTAAAAAAGTAAGTTAAAATAATTAAAAAAATAAAGGAGCTGATGAGGTTCACCTTGAGGATTATAAAGTGGATTAGAAAAATAAATCTGATGGAGCGAAAGGAAAACCGCGATACAGAGAGGGAACACTGTATACTGCACAATGAATGTACCACAAAGTGCTGTATAGATCAAAAGTTAAAGGGTTTGAAAGAATGGCTGAAGTTGTACACCAACAAAATCCTACTTTTTTTTTACAGTGACATATGAGAGGTCACAGCCAATGGTCAGTAGTATAGTCTGACCTTACATATCTGTGACTTCGCTGTGCTCAGAACCTTACATTACGGCCGCCTATTTTCATAGACGTACATGAATGGAGGAAAAGAAATACTCTTCATCCACAGGTCTTCACAAACGTGAGAAAAGCCTAAAAAACAATTGGCTTTTTTAATGTGAGGTTTTTTTTTTCCAATAACAATGCAGGTATTTTTAGGTTCCTTTTGTTTTGTCTTTCTCATATTTCTATTTTTTTGTGTACTGCAGGTAAACACTTAGACTCAGGAAACAGGAAAAACTTGATAAATTCAGACATGAATTCAAGAGAAAATACATTTTATACAAATAGAACAGGACATTTTTTTTTTTTTTCAACATTTTTTTTTATTCATTAAACCAAAAGAAATGTTCAGAGAAATGTTCGCCTCACCTTGTGTGCCCACTATTTCCATGTGGAGGTGGGCGAGGCCACTGGCTGTGGACAGGGACAGTTTGATCATGCCCTCCACGGTGACGGTGTATCTGTTCAGGTAGTCAAACAGAGAGCCGTGTTCGTGGTAGTCCGACACCAGCCAGAGCTGTGTCCACGTCCCATTATCTACACAGACACACGCAGATAAGATAAGGGAGATAAGGGAGATAAGGAGTTAAAGACCGGCCGCGCTACTGTTCTTTTGTTATGTCGCTAATGCAATCTATTACGGTCTGACACACAAGTTAACAGCACGGTTACAACATGTCATTAGCAGCACTTAACTCTGTCCTGTCACTCACTTTAGAAGCGCTGTAATGCAGCAAAGTTCCTAGCCAAGTAACACTAAAAATAGTGCTGTACGTTAAACGAACACAGAGAGAAGCATTTCTAAAAGAAGAGAAGGAACAAAGATGAGAATTCCAAGGCTCTTATTTTGGCCAATGTGGCATTATTTATTATTTTAAAAATACCGATGCTTACATTGTGCCAAATCAACTCAAAGAATAACTTTCTTTGGGGCGTCAAATTCAAACAAACAAATGCGTGAATAGACAGGCTTGGGCAACCGTTTAAGTTTCTTTAATCGGCTCAAACTCATTTTCTCCCCCCTCGTTCCTCCCCCGACGAATTGAAATACTATTGAGAACCTGATAACATGTATATATTTTTTTATCTGTACAAACCACTGTATCCGTTGCTGCAACCTAGTGACTGGATGCTTGTTATCATTCATGCATTACCGCAGTGGTCCACTTGTGTCCATATGCGTGCCATATTCCATTTGAAGCCCCTCATGAGCTCAATTAGCCAATAGTAGACGGAGTACGCATTGTATTAGCCAATAGTATGCTGTTTACATTCACGGCTAGGTACACAAAGCCACCAGCGATCGTTCGCAAATGCGCTTAGATCAGTTTCAAAACAAGAATCCTATTCTGTTTTTGTATCCGGCCCGTCAAACTTTTCCAAATTATGTAATATATCGTTATACGTCCGCCTTTTCCGGGCAATACCTACGTTTTCCCAGTAGATGGCGTAGAAAATGATAAAAGCATTTTAGCCCTTAGCCGTGACTTTTACATGTCATTGATCTTAGTTCACACAAACGCTCTGCTCCTGACCCGGCCCGGTTTAATTTAAGGACAATAGCGGTCCGCTAGTCAAAAAGTTTGTCCATGCCTCTTAGTCAACGTTACCTGGCTAGCTTAAAAAAAAAAGGGAAATCTGTGCACCCAGGCCCATGCAATTTTCTTTCAGTTAACGCAGATTGTTTTTCCCTGCATTTCATTTTTTATGGGTTCTTTTCGGATGTAGCAAAGTAAAATACTTGAGTCAAAATGCTTTAGTAAAACAACAAGTCCTTATCATCTGTTTTTACCGCATGGAAATAAAAAAAAAAAAAGCACAGAAAGTGAACTGAACCCGCACGTGGAGTGCCGTACTTAAAGAACAGCCAGATAACAGGAGACACTGAGACCAGCCTTTGTAACAACAGCCGATAAAGACATGTCACGTCGCCATCTTGTGATACCTTCGTAACCCTCATATGGTCCCTTCGGTCATCTAGACCCAATCTGCCTGTTCCTGTACTGCACGGCTTGTGCCAACATTTCCTCCTATTCGTTCATACTCGCATACTGGGACAAGATAAAAAATTCATTCCAAGGATGAAGGCTGTGTACAAAAATGCGAAGGACAACAGGAGGGTCAAGGGAGATCTTGGGCTCACCGCCTAAACATGTCAAGGTAAAAACGACTCATTTGTCTGTATGTAAGAAACTTGATTTAAAAAAAGGAAAGAAAAAAAAAAAAAGTGCACTGAAACAACATGAACACACAGGAACTACTAACTGAATATTGAATACTTAATCAACTGAAATAAACTCAAGCTAGTGTTCAGAATTGCCTCTAGTATACATTATGTAATTTTCTTATTAAACCCCCCCGGCTAATTGTATTTAATCCCATTTATTGCAGCGCCAACTGATTTTTAACAAATTAAACCCTTTTAGTAAACTCAGAGAGTTACTGATTTATTTATCAACTTCAGATCAACCTGAAACACAAGGAGACATAAAAGCACCACATTTTAATTATTACTCCCTGGCCACAAATAAATATTTATAACAAGCAAATGGACTCATTAAAATCCATCGGAAAGTGTAAGCGTTGTTATTGGGGGGGTAATCTGTGAAGATATTTAGGTTTGAGACATTCCATTTTTTTTCATCCCACCAAACACAGAAATAAGTCAGTAATAAAAACAGCCTGGTGAGCATTTATCTACTATTCCATTTTCTAAACCTCAAAAACGTTCAACTCACACCGAAAAGCAAGTAGAGCTACACCTGAAACGCGACACAAATCAAAACGGACAAGTCACCGAACGTCGACCCTACTCGTGTTGAGAGCAGATCTTGCGGAGCTCACTCACCTTTGTTGTCCGCAGCGATGAAGCCCAGGATATTCTCGTGTCTCAGCATCACGGTCTGATAGATCTCGGCTTCGCGGAACCAAGAGCGCTCTTCGCGCGAGGAGAAGATCTTCACCGCCACTTCTTCACCGCGCCACTTGCCCCTCCACACCTCGCCAAAACGTCCTTTGCCGATGCTCTCCTGAAGGATGATGGTTCTGGCGATGGTCCTTTGGACGAGCAGAGGCAGACCTTAAAGGAAAGAGGAGTGTCATTGTGTTAAAGCAAACGTTTGGCTCACGCAAAAGTTTGATTTGTCAATTTTTTGTTTATACTGTATATATATTGGGTTATTTATTGTATTTTTGGGCAATTGAGACCAAACCTTGTCCTAATGAAATTAAACATCATTTCTAAGAGGTCTGGTCAAGGTCAAGAACATGAATACCTGAGTTGCGTTAGGCTGAACAAACGAATGAAGGTCAGTAAAGGTCGTTACTGTACCAATTACAGCCGAGCGAATCTAGAGCAGTAGAGCCATTACCGCATACCACTACGTTCGTCTATGCCAGTTATTACCGACAAACCCACTGACTCTCGCCAACACCAAAATGTGTCTTCAAAAATATCTATTCAGGTCCGGAATCATTTTCAAGCTGTTTTCTGTTGAAACTGTGAGCTCGGGAAAAAAAACCCCAAAACATGTCAAACAGAGATGCGCTAGTCATTAATTATTAAAAACTGTTGTTTCAATATTTCTTTGTCCATGTGGTGAGGCCTTTTCAAAAGAAATAACTTGATGTTTGCTGCATTGCAGCCTGGTGGCGCCATGCAGTGTCACTGCTCACCATGTACTTTCTACATTACGCTATTACGCCAGGGTTGGGAAAACTATTTGACTCACAGGCCAAAATGGGTTGCAAAATTTGACAGGGGTCAGAGAAGAAAAAAAAAAATGTCGGTGTGAAGTAAGATAAATGCTTTTTTTGTAGCGCCGTCTGATACTTTGAAAACCTCCTTGGCATATCAGACGTACAGCCGTTGATTTGACTTGAGTGAAAAAAATTCGTTTTTTTTCCACTCGACACTTAATGTCTACTTTTCTTTTGGTTGACCTACTCATTTTTTCCTGAAGGAACAAAGGACGGAAATGTTTTCATTTCCCACACCCCCGTGTATTGAAATACCATTGAGAACCTGATAACAAGTAGATTTTGAGTTGCTGCCACCTAGTGGCTGGAGACTTGTATTGAAATACCATGGAGAACCTGATAAGAAGTAGATTTTGGGTTGCTGCCACCTAGTGGCTGGAGACTTGTCATCATTCAAGCATTACAGTCCAATGTGCCATATTCCATTGGAAGCCTCTCACACCCCCCGGTCCCTGGCACCTCACTGTGCCCCCACAGGGGGGTCCGCCCCACTATTTGAGTAGCACTGTATTAAAGGGGCGGGGCATTGCAGGGAAAAGTCATCACTGGAAAAGTAAAATTAAAGTTGTTCCTTTTTGTGTGTCAATAAATTCACGTGAGAGTTTCTACTTTCACGCCAGGGTCTGTGCATCTGTCTGGATTGAATTAAGTGTGCTGAATTTTGGATGTGCATTCAAACTGAGAAAAAATGTTTTTGTTGATAGTCGGGATGATCGAGTGGACACAAAATTTACAGTGTAGCATCCACATACAAGACAATATTACGTTAGGCAACCTAACAGGCTTTTCACCGTATCTCCAAGGAAGCAGTTGATATATTGAACTCAGTGAAAAGTGTTTTCCTTGCAGAGTGTGGAAACCTTGAGAAAAAGCAGCAGAACACTGGGGCAAGCGGTGCGCTAACAACCCCTGACAGTTCTTTTAGGTGAACACTGGGGCAAGCGGTGCGCTAACAAACCCTGACAGTTCTTTCAGGTGAAAAAAGAAAAAAAAAAACCCCAACACTGATTCTTATGGGTTTTTTTTTTCTTTTAGTATTTGTGTGTAATTTATTTTGAAGGAATTTTCGAATCCTATTGTGCATCTACTTTTTTTTTTGGATGCAAAGAACTGGTGAATAAAACAATTGTGGTGAATAGTATGTATAATAAAAATTAAAAATAAATAATTGAGTCCTTTAATGAGCACCTGATTATGTTATGGTAAGTAAAATGGCTTCAAAAAATGAATTCTTGGTCAAAAGAAACATTTTTGAAGAGCCAAAATGTTTTAGAAATTAAAATAAATATTAATGACAAGCCAATATATTTTTAAAAAAAAAAAAAAAAAAAAAAAAGAGGAAAAAAGAGCTAGAGTAATCTACCTACACTGAAAACATTAAATATAAATATATATTTAGTTATATAAACTGAAAATACATTATAAATATGTCATATTCTGGGGTACGCATGTATGCATGTAGCTATGTATGGCACAATATGTTTGAATTCTTTTAGTATACGGCCTATTATAGGGGTTCCCAAACCCCCGGTCCGGGGGAGAACATTCTGTTGCGGAGGATGAGGACTATTAGCATTAGCATGTTTTTTTTCTAGCGACAGAGAAGCCATGGTGATAAGAACGTTTTTACTCCATTAACCTAAACCAGTACTTCTCAAAGAGTGGGGTGCCCCCCCTGCTGGGGGTGGGGTGGGGGGGCATGAGGGGCTTCCAATGTAATATGGCACGCTGGATATACTGCTGTAATGCTTGAATGATAACAAGCCTCCAGTCACTAGGTGGCAGCAACTCATACAGCGGTTTGTACAGATAGAAAATATACATGTTATCAGGTTCTCAATAGTAGTTCAATTTGCAGGGGGTGTGGGTCGGAATGGGGGGGGGGGGGACATGAAAACATTTCTGTCCCCAAGGGGGGGCATGACAGAAAAAAAAATTGAGAACCACTGACCTAAACAGACACGCATGACAGCTATTTTTCTTTAAAAAAAAATTTAAAAAAAAAATCAATCGATCAAAAGAATAAATAAAAACTATATAAATGGGGAACCACTGCTGGGCCACAGTGGAACACTGGGAAAAAAAAAAAAAGTACTTCAGTTTTACTAATTGACTTGATTCAAAAATCAATCCTGTCACATCCATTTACTTTTTTCATTTCAAAATAATCTGGCAGTCATTGCGACTACAATACTAACAGGATAAAGTCGAAAAGCTGTTTCAACGATGGCGCCGTATTACCAGTCTGCAGGTTGTGGACCGCTGGTCTACATCCATTTACAGAATTCTACTTATAATTTTCTATTTTCTTTTTTTTTTTTTTTTTTTCATTTTCGTCATCATGCACCAGCGAAGCTGAGAGCTATAACCGTGAGCCAGTGTGGCCCGTTGCGCTATGAGCTTTGCTCATTTTTCTTTCCTACGTCTTCCTTCTTACACGGAATCATGTTTCATGGCTCTCGGCCTGTATACCCACTTAATTAAGTTGTGAAATGCCCCTGCTGAGGCGATTTTATAGTCTCTCTGGGAGCACAACACACTGAGCGCAGCCTGGTGAAAAAAAAAAAAAAAACTGAATATGACTTATGTCCAGTTTTTTTAACGATTTTTTTTTAAATTTTCAGCACCGCTAACGCCTCAGCCTTCGAGATCACCGGCTCCTACCTGATCCAGATCCAGAGGTCGTCATGTCGTAGATGAGATCCTTGAGTGTTGTTCCAACAGTGATAAAAGGATGGTCCATGGAGGGGTCCTCTTCATTGGGAACTCGGTGATGATGGTGGTGATGGGCACCAGCTCCCCCGGCGCCTAGGCCCCTGTGGCTGTGGCAAACATAAAAGGCCACCACGAGCAGCAGGCAGAGCAGACACACCGGGCCGGCAATTACTGCGGCAAGAGCCACGGGACCCAATGGAGAAGGCTTCTCTGTGGGCCCTGTGAGACGAAACGACGGGCGTTAAAAAAAAATTTGAATCCAATCACTGCTGGAAAAGTAAGGACTGTTACTCATTAGATTTAGCAGATTCTCTTGAACAACAATGAGTTTACAAATTACACCACAACATGTTTGAAAAATTGATAACATTAGTGATAATGTATTTTCATTATTTCTTCGGGTTCTTACCAGGTAACATTTCAAAGTCAGGCTCTTTGTTGCAGTAGTCCGAGGTGCAGCACAACGGGTAAATCCCTGTGTCATCTTTGACAGAGGGCGCGCAGAGGAAGGGCCTGTCTCGGGGTATCAGTTCGTATTCGTGTATGCACTGGCGCTGCTCCGTGATGGGGCGGCTGCCCACCTTGCGGATGGCGACGAAACAAACGCCATCTGTTGTGCAGCTGGAATTTGCGCTACATCGATCACAGTAGCACTGAAGAGCTGTGAGAGAGAAAGAGATAAAAAAAAATAATAATGAGCAAACACACACATCAAATCAAGACAATACCCTGCGGGTGAATTTCACGACACTGACACTTTTTTTTTTTTTTCAATTAAGTAAGAGATCTAAAGAAGAAAAGATTAACGCTAGACGCATCACCTCTGGTGCAGATGCCCAGTATTTTCTCGCCTTCAGAATCATAACTCATTTATGTCATTTCTCATGAAATCTTGGCCTAAAATTGTTGCGGTATAAGTGTATTGTGTTGCGGAGGATGAGGAACATTAGCATGTTTTGCTAGCAAAACAGAAGCCATAGTGACTCAGCAATTTTTTTTTACGATATATTAATATATATAGTAAATAAAATTACTTTCTGTATTGAAATAATGTTTTATTTTATTTTCCTAAATTGCATGTTTTATTACTAAAATTATTACTGCCGCGGTGTACGAACGACTTCATGAGAATGACCGAATATCTACTTCAGACAAGGTGCCGCGTTTTCAGAACTTTGTTGTTTACATCTTTCAACATTTCCAATAGTTTTTTGAAATTCAGATTTAAAATTGGGAACAGCAATTCACACAAACAAAACGTGTGAATGTGATACTGCATTTCTGAGGATCTGCAATTCGCTGGCAGGGAAGTGTAATGAGGCAGACCACTTTCGCTACTCGGATATAAATTAGAAATATATTTTTTCCTTACTGCGGGTACTTGTGTCTGAGTGATTCCATTCATTCTGAAGCATCTCACTACAAAGTGATGCATTTTGTTTTTAATTCAATCTTGGTTATAATAATAATAATAATAATAGTTTGATGTTTCACCTTTGAGGCAGCCTGTGTACATGCACATAGAGAAATTTGCGTCTTCCAAAGACTTACACTAAGACTTAAACAAAGACTTATACAATGTAATTATGTCAAAAGAGCTTGTGAAAAAAAAAAACCCAGGCAAATACAAATGTTCCACAATCATTAAAAAAAGAGAAAATCTTTCCTTAAAACTACTGTACAGCACGCTTGTATAAATTGCTATACCAAAATAAGACTGCCCCGCGGGAGCGAAAGCAATCATTGAGAGGAAATTAGATCTCCTATTTGCACATAAGGACTCAAACGTGATCTCTGATGGTTGCTGAAAGCCCTCCTATAGCTTGTATTTTGCACAAAAAAATAAAATAAATAAAGCTAATAATTAATTGCCGCATCCCAGAGTCTAAATGGTACTATTATAACAGTCTGCTGAGACACAACCCTGATAGTCACAGGTACGCCGTGTTCCAGTGTGTTATCAAACTTTTGTAATTTCAGGGATGAAACATCACATGAAAACACTTCCACCCCGCATCACGTGCGTTGAGTTATCAGGACTGTTTTTTCCATGAGCACTGGAAAACGTGTATGAGTTACAGAGCTTCAGGTCAATGTGGCCAGAAACAGGAAACCAGGTCTGCAAAAAATAAGCCCAAAAGAAGGGACCCACCAATCACATGCCCTGGGGCCTAATAATGAAACAGAAAGGCATCGTTCCCATTGAGCATGTGACCCAAATCCCAGTCAGATATATGGGAACAGAAACAGATATATGAGGGAACCCATAATACTGCAAGTGCTTATTGCAAATACTGAAAAGTAACTGTGATATATATATATATATATATAGTTTCTTACTGAACTTTTCCCGTAAATGTCACTACATTCAAGTACTGCACAATAAAATTAAACCAGCTGTGTTGAATTTCCTAAAAAACCAATACATAACTACATAAATAAAATACAGGTATCATACATGAAATATAATAAATGAATTCAAATAAATGCATAAAATAATTTTAAAAAATAATAGAAATGTATGTCCAATACCCGGCTAACTCATTAGCTAAGCCCAAATGCTCAACTTAACTTTGCACGACATGCCGTAAACACCAATCGATGGCATGCTAGAGGAGAAAATTAGTATCACATTTATATTGGCATCGCCAAATACTCCATGTTGCAGTATTGGTATTGGACATTAAAAGTTGTACCGAGGCAACCGTCGTCTTTATTTAAACACTTACAAGGTTTGTAAAACTTTCATTTTAAAAGGAAAAATGCAAGTGAAATTCTGTGTCACATCTTTAGAGCAACGACATTGAGACTTAAATACATAAATACACAAGTACTTGCCGCTACAAGTACTCCGCACATTACTCTAACCAAAGCGAACTGTCTGGACATGAATTCCAGACAGAGAATTCAGGAAGGAAATGACTAAGTGTATGTCTGGTGTGTGTCTTAATGTGAGTGTGTGTGTGTGTGTAAGACAGTAAGGGTGTCTGACAACAGAATACTAACAGTCAGCTGAGTCTTGTCTCCTATGACTAGATGACTCAGATGCCTGTACACATACCTGCAAACAGGGCTCCGCGCTGACATTTTCCTAAGAAGCTAAAGTCAAATATTACACAAGTACAAAAAGATAAAAAAAAAAAGGAGCACCACAGTTATTAATTGCAAGCCATTTCAATCTGATTTCATTTCACTTCGATTTATCCTTTTTTCTTATTCTCTGAAAACACAGAATTATCAGCCGGTCAAATCCTCCAGTGTTTTACAGGAGTGAGATGCAGTATTTCCAGTTGGGCTGCTTGAACATGAAAAAAGTACTTTGGTCAATATGGAAATAATTACTCGATGACTGTGGGAAAACGTTGCATCGGTTGCACCTAGTGAACAGCAAATGGGATTTAAAAATAAAATACAGTATAAAGGAAGTATAAAAAAATATTTACTTACATAAACTGAACATAATATACACATGAAACTTTAGAGTACCAAGTTCAGTTTGTCTCACAATACACGGTCTCTAAAAACATATAAAGAATTATATATATATATATATATATATATTTTAATTGCTCATGGCATACCAGCAGTCCCTTTGCAATCTATTGGTAGATCGCATTCCACTTATTGGGCACCCCTAGTATAATTGCGTATAATTGTGTATGCAATCCATGCAATGTGTTTCCAGAGTCAATGAATATTCCTTCTAATTGAGTTATTCCAATATTAATCAAAAAAAAAACTTTTTTCCCCTCCATCTTGCTTTCGAGCTATCTTTTCCCAATCTTAATTATTGTGATCATGGGTCATTTACACGATTGGCTAACACATTGTTAGGGGGCTAATGAGACACACAGTTACCACAAGCTTACCATAAACAAATTTTACTTCAGTTGTTAGTTTTTAGCTCTGCACCACACGGGCCAAAACGAGACTTTTGGGAAAAACAAAGACACTTTGTTTTGTTTTCTGCTGCTCTAAGGTGTGTTCCATTTCAAATGCGACTGAAAAGGACTGCTTGGGCGGAGCAGCAGCAAGGCATAGGAACTTTATGAAAATAGCTTTGATGAAACAATATCCCTAACCCGGTCTCCCGGTCACCATGTCATTAGAATGCCAACGGAAAATGTAGCCATCGGTGACAGTATTACCATTACCCATTCAACAAATTACTGTGCCCATAGTTACAATGCCATTAATTACTGACATTAATATTCCTTAGGTTACTATAATGGTATTTTAATAGGACCATTAACAACTTCAAGCGTTCTAAGGAGTGGGTGAGGTAGCATTTTCAAATGGAAGTCCATAAATTGTTTTTCTTTCACTGTGATAAAATGCCAGAACATTTATGTCAGGAGCGCCGAATGAGTAGACTGGTCTGTCGATGTTCATGTTAAGTAATCCCCATCTAAAGGAGCACCTGTCATCCATTTATTGCATTAACTTGTTCTGTATTACACTGAAAGCACTTCATTCTGTATATATTAGCGCAGTGCGGCATGCCAAAAGCCACTGCACGGCAAACACCGCTGTATTAACCTCACAGTTCAGTAAATTTTGGTATAAAATGTGAAAGACTCTGACTTTTTTTTTTTTTATCATTTATAAAAACATGTTGTAGTTCTCAAACTAATGAAGAATATCTAAAAATAAATAGGATCTGAATTGCAGCATGCCTCACGGCGCTCATACTTTTACCATTCTGACGCTGCCTCCCTCGGCTCCCTCTGCCTGACGTCTCTCCCCATAAATGGAAAGCACCGCTTTTGCACTTGTTATTTTCTGGCACCAGGTCATACCCACAGTCAGATGATGCGTTATCATGTTTGATGTATTAACTAGCTGGTTAGTCAATTAAAACGTAACAATGTTTTCTTCTTTGCCCTATTTACTTTTCTTTCTTCAATGCTACCATAGTTGATTACAAAACTCTAGGTTTTCCAAATCAGCAAACTATTTTTCATTGCCCTTTTGAGACTGCTAACTGCTTATTAGGGAGTGCCCGATACTACTTTTTCCAAATATGTTTGCTCACATTTTAGTGCAACTGTCACAATATACTTAAATGTCCAATACAGTGGACCCCATAGATACGAGTTTAATCCGTTCCACAACAGCACTCGTGTCTCGATCCACTCGTATCTGGATCAAATCTTCCGCATTAAAAAAAGACAATCAATTTGTTTGAAATAAATCAAACACCGAGCATATATTTATTATGCGTATAATATTGAAAATATAAATAAAACAAGTGCACTTTTAAATGGCCTGAAACAACTGCTGCCTTACAAATACATTTGCAAATACATTTTTCATACAATTCAGTTTAAATATGCATTTAAATATAACTCACTGAAAAAAAACTTCAACAACCAACAGGCTGGACTATAAAGACAAAACTTCGAGTCCGAAAAACATTCTGAATAACCACTTCTTAAAAGTATCACTAATAAATTATTCAACCACAGCCTACGCTGATAATTAATGCTGCGTGAAACTAATTTTCACGGTCACAAGGGGGAGCTGGGGCTAAGGCGAGAAGAAAACGAGAGAGAAGAGAGAGATGCAACACTGTTCCATGCCAATCAAAACCTAGATAAACATAGATAGTTGTATGTTTTTTTTATTCAACTTTTAGCGTTTACATTAAGTAGTTTATGT